CGGGGTGACCCGTACGCTCTCATTCGATTTCCTCTAACCGTCTAAATTTAGAAATAATGAGGATTTTAATATATTCATGCAATTCTAAATAACCTTATGCACACAAGGCAACAATTAATTCCATGCATGAACAAATAAATAATTAATGCCATAAATAAATATCCACTATTATGGCCAATTAAATATTTATTATTCTTGGAGTAGGATTTCTTTCCTAAACCAACTGGAACTCCCACTGCAGTAGAATCCCGGTTGACTTGTACTGCAAGTTCCACAAAACCTCCACCATGGATGTTGCTGAGGTCCTCCGGTCGTCCTGCCGGTCGCCGGTCGCCACCGTGGTGGTCGAAAAATATATATATTTTTTTATTCGTCGAGACTCTTTGGATCTTTGTGAAGGCCCGATCTCCAACGTCGATCACAATTCGAAAAATATAATTTACAAAATTACATAAATCAATTCCTAGATCAAGCGAGTGGATGTACATGCCTTCTACTAATAAATTAAACTATCCGGTCAACCCCCGGGCAATTAATACAAGCATTCATCCATAATTCCTCAAAAATCCCGGGGCTTTAAAAACAAATTTAAAACCATACAACCAACCATCAATTAAGCACAAGCACATAAAAAGGTGGCCATAATAGTGGATTAACTACTTCCTGCAAAACCAAGTTATGCAAATAATCCAATATATATGGCTGCGCTTGAGCACACATAGACAATATAAGCCGTTTAATCCGGATCTTGTACATAACGGATTAACCTCGTGCTCTGACACCAATTGTTGGAACCCATGAGGATCTCGATATGCACAAATCACGGACAAACATTTAACATAAACCTATGCACAGCAGATCTAAAGGTTTGATGTAGAAAACTTACGACTTAAATTTATGTAGATCTGGCTGGCCCGAACAGATGACCGCAAATCAAATCTTCTCGGAATCGAACAAACTTGACCAATCCAGAAAGCTGGCGTCACGGCGAAGTCAACGGTGTTGACCGATCGGAAATCGGAGGTTTCACGCGCTCTCACGCACGCGTGTGAGTCCCAGCAGCAACAGTCTTCCGGCGACGCGTGAGGGCGCGTGCAGCGGCGGCTGGCGGCGATCTCGACGGCGATCTCTTCGACTCGTTGTCCTGGTCGTCGTGGTATGGTCACTTGCTGGTTTTGGTCTCCGGTTTGGATGGATGATAGATTTGATTGGAATCCCGTATATA